AGCTGGCTGGGGAATTCTGGGAGTTGAAGTCCACAGGTCTTAAAGTCGCAGGGATGGAGAAACACTGGGCTAGATCTTCCAAGGATGGGCTTTCATTGGCAGACCTTGTAGATGAGGATGTCAGGACTTGAAGGCTGAAATTGTACAGACTTCCCCTCCCTCAAAGACAAGGAGGTCATTATTCGGTGGAAGAGTCCACGGGGAATGTAAGAATTTCAAAAATTGAAGCCCCCGTTTTTCCAGTTCGAGAGATCCCGGGTTGCAAGGCTGGAAAGGTTTTCTAGGCTAAATGGGATGAATGGACCGGGCTGGTCCAAGCAGCTTTCTGAATTCCTATTTGGGATGATTTAAGCTATCTTTATCCTGTTGTGCTAGTTTTCTATATGCAGGATTCCCTCCCCCCCTTTTTTTTTAATAAAGAAAATCTGAGGATATGGATTGATTCGGAAGCAAGATGAAACTGACTCAGAACAGCTTGTTAGAGTTTTCTGTAAAGGATTTTTTTACCTACTCTGCCCCTAGGTAGCTAGTGGTCTTAAAAATATCATCAACAGTTTCTTAGCCCCTTTGGCCAGAGACGAAATTTGGCTCTCTTCCTCTTGCTATCTCTCATGCAGCAAAAAAATTATTTCTGCTTTTGGTTGTGCAACCCGAAAAAGGAACTGCCATGTCCAGATTGCATCAGATTCCAGCTGTCAGTGGAGGGGGAGTTTAACTTTTTCAGCTGGGGTTGGGAAATGGTTTACCTGCTGAATGGCTGCATGTGGTGATGCCCTTTTGGAGGCAGATCTGCCCATCTGACTTTGGGACACGAGGTGGGACAGGCGTCTCGTTGCCTTCGGCAGAAGGAGAAAAATCTCCAGTCCAATTTATTACAAGTTTTGCATTCTAATAAGAGCAACCTGATTGAACTGCAGACATCCAGTCACTAGTTAGCAGCAATGTGTTAGGAGATTCTGTGTCTCTGATGCCATCTAGTGGTTCTCTGCATCTTTGCAGCCCAGATTAGGTAATCTTATACCAGAGTTATTTGTGGTCTAGAGCAGCATTTCTCAACCTCAGCAACTTTGAGATGCATGGACTTCAACTCCCAGAATTCCCCAGCCAGCATGCTGCGTCTTTGCAGCCCAGATCAGGTAATCTTAATATATACCAGAGTTATTTGTGGTCTAGAGCAGCGTTTCT